TGAAAAATTCGCAAAAAAAATCACATGTAATAAAAGAAATTATAGTAATGGTTAATTTTCGAACTATTCTCCTAATGAGTAATTGGGATAATGCACCATAATTTAGTAAATAGATACGATAGTGATCATAAATATCAATATTTATAGATTTATTATTGACAATAATAATACAACATAATTTGTTAAATCATCATGACAATAAATATGAGATTTAAATTTATAATATCAACCCAATGTATATAGAGAGATACTCTTAAATCTAGGAGAAGATCAATTTTTACACTAATTGAATGTTATAGACCAAAACAACCATTAGGTCTTCTTAAAAAAAGGTTTCATACAAAAATATTTTGGCATCCAATGTGACACTCAGAAACTTTTTCCGATGTCCCTCTTTCTTGTTTGAAGATATATAAGATTATACAAAAATATGAACTTGAAATGAAACAACAAATTCATACAACCAGTTTGATGATCTTTATTTATTACAATCACTTTTGGAGTCCAATTAAAATTTCCAAATATAGAGCGTAACTAAGTCATCAAATTTGTCTCTCATCTTCTTAATATCATATTTTATCAACTTTTTAATCATCAATTTTGATAATTATTGGATATACTAATCATTCATTTGCTTGTAATTTTTATTGTCACTACATTTATCGTCCTTTGTGGTACATGTGGCACCTATTACTAACACTATACTAGACCTTTCCATGCAATTATGCAAATATACTCTAGGATTTGTTGTTGAAAAAAAAAGTAAAGAACTTTTTATTTAAAAAATAATAAAAAAATAATTCATGTTATCAACACCGAAGTCGAACTTTAGCTTATTTGATTTTTTTTATTTTTTTTAACGATTTGCTTTCGAATTCAATAACAAATTCATCAATTGCAAATTGAAATATATAACCTGAGATAAACTCCTTGACCACTAAAAATTTATTTTGACAAACGACTATTGTTCTCGTACTTTTAAATAATATGCATTCACGTAAAAAAAATGAGATTTTTTTTTTTAATTTCACGTGTACTATTATATGAGCATTTGACCTTTGAGAGGAAAAAAAAACAAAAAAAAACAAAAACAAACTATAGTTACTGATGTTTTGTTTTAGTTTTTGATTTTACTTAAATATCAATGGTCTATTACATTTTTTATAACACCGTAATTATGGTTATCGGTTTAGGAATTGTTTTATGTGTTGTTAATTAATACTAAATGTGTAATGATTGATGATATAATATAATATTTTCTATCGCACTATAATTATGATTATTGATTTAGGAATTTTTTTAAATATTAATAATTAATCATGATTAATGATATGTAATTATTTTGCTTTAATTATTAATAAATATATAAGCATAATGTGGTACAATTTTGATAATGTGTTATTATCTTGATTTAAAGTGAAATTATATGGACTTTTGTTAAAATTTACAAGTTAATTACTCTTTTCATTTTTAAATCATTATATTTAATACAATAGTTATCAATTATTACATTACTTGAATTATAATAATAGTAATTAAAAAATGTCTTTGAGTAATAAAATATTTGTGTAAAAATAATTTTTCTTTACCGGTATACATTCTTAGCACTAAAGATGCAAGTTCTTAAAATGAAGAGTATTTGAAGATTGGCCACTACCAAAAAAATCTTTAACGAACGTCTTAAGGTCAGCAACTACAAGAAAAACCCTTGATGTGAAGAGTGATAAAAATACTTGACATGAAAAATGTCTTAAGGTCAGTAACTTTAAGAAAAATCTTTAGTATAAAGAGCACTTTAAGATTAAATTTAATGTGAATAATGTTTTAAGGTCAACATAAAAAATAAAATTCCCTTGGTGTGAATAGCATTTGAAGTAAAAAAAACTAAAAAAAAATTGTGTGAATAGTGCTTTAAAATCTTCATCAACATACACCATTAGTATTGAAAAAACATTTTAAGGTTGATAAAGGAATTGATACCTTGGAGTGAATAGCGCTTTGAGGTTCACACTAAATAAAATAACACAAAAATGTAGAGTTGGAATCAATCACAATAAAAAAACTAACATATACTATTTCAAGAATACAATCGAGCAACTACTAAGAGAACTTGACAAAGCACAAAATGATTCTTAAAGCACACCCGACACATATTGGTCATTCACTAAATCCTATATGAAGCACAAAATGGCCAAATCATACAATTTTTGCCTCTTAAGTGAATTATTGGCTCTTAAGTGATACCGATTCAAAAAGATGCTACACTCATCTAAACTTGGACTCGCACACAAATAAAACATTCAATTGAGTTCTCACTTTTAGTTAATAGCATTTTTTAAAACATGTTACAATAATCATCAAGTAAAACACACAGTGAAAACTCAAATCTAATGACACTGACATCCATAAATCTATAAGTATGTCAACTATTGACACTAACTCCTTATTAGTAATTTATTCAATATGCATGACTGATAAACACACATTCAATAAATAACAAATTGGCTTGTAATCGAGAAGGTATGATAACCTATATAATCAAATAATAACCAAACAAAAATCTTTAAAATTGGTATACAACTTAACAATCAAAAACATTTTAATCAACCAAAATGCGCAATTAACAAAATGTAAGGGCAAACAACAAGTTAAAACTTTTAAAAGCCTTTTAAGATAAGATAACATGGTTCTAGTCAACTAATCATTAAGACTCATCACGCCTTTGATACTCAAGCTTGGAGGGTTGTGTACTGTACTAGTCTCTCGCCAATTGAGTGAATCCAACACATAGGCTCTTCACATTTTCATGCTCGAGCCTAAAGGGTTGTGTACTATATTGATTTCCCAATAACTAAGTAGTCCGGTCACTTTGAATCTTCGTAATTTTGACACTCAAGTCTAAAGAGTTGTGTACTGTACCAATCTTTTGCCAATTGGGTAAATCGAGTAACCCTTTGACTAAAGACTTGTCAAATACATCACATAAAAAATATTTGGTCAATTTTCAAACCATTCCCCTACAAGTAGTTGGCATAAGGTGCCATAATTTATGAAATAAGCACAATAACAATTATAAATGTCAAGATTTATAGACTTATCAACGATAATAATAATACAATGTGACTTGTAAGATAATAACAAGAAATAAGAAATCACATTCATAATATTGTTCTAGTATATATATATATATATATATATATATATATATATAAATAAAGAGAGAGAGACTGTTGAGCCTAAGAGAAAATCTATTTCTACATTCAAACAATCACATTTTTTTTAGAGGAGGTTCCGCTTCGAAACAATTTTAAATGTATATTTAATTGTTAAAATTTATCCTACGTTGTTAGGAATTTTTTTATGCAACCTTCACCTTATAAATTCACGAAACCTACAAGTTGGTGATATATAGTAACCAGTTAAAATTTAAAAAGATATTGTTGATATGGAGAATATGATGGTCAACTACCTTCACGCGTCAAGTTCATACATGAGATAAAAATGGACACCAATGATGCTTTTCGAAAGAGTGGACCAAGTCGAGGGCGAAGTTCGTCTTGCCAAGATATTGTGTGAAAAATAAAATAATATATATAAATATATATATATATATATATTAAAATAACATATTCCAAATATCTCACCTACTACTGGAGTATGAAATACTTTTAGTGTACTTAACGTTATTGTCTGGTTAAATGTCCTTACGTACTCATAATTCAATTTTATTAATTAAAAATTGTAGGAACATAATATATAAACATATAACGATCTTAAACTATACAATTTATTTTTCTTGCTTTTCCTTTTAAACGGAGACAAAAATGTTTCATTCCAATGGCCCTTTTCATTTTATCCCCTTTCAAATCTATTCAACCCAAAATAAAGCGGAAGTATTTGTGGCAAAATCACTTTACAAGCCTCGCATTTTTCATAAATAACGAGGTCATCTCTTGTTTGTAAATTTTGTATCAAAAGATCAAGTCAGGTACTCAAAAATTTTATACAACTATGTTGTAAACACGCACTGGAACATTTTTACTCAGGTAATTTAATTTGACCCCCTCTTCATATAGATTTCAAGTTTTTTCATTCATTTAATTAAGTCATATAGGTGTGTGAAGTTTTATCCACAACTAATCTTCAAAACCTAAACGTTTGAAGTCTATTTAACTTATTATGTTGAATTTATTGATTTTATAATAATCATCATAAACACCGTGATAATGACAAATTATAATTGATTAACTGTTGCAAGCTTTCCTTCCTAATTCACAATTAGAATCTTCTGGATGCATTGTTTGTTCTTCTCCTCTGAGAATGCTCACCTTTAGTTGGAGAGTCTAAACACTTTATGGAGAAAGCCTAACAGCTAGTTTGGGTCTAGAGGATTGCATTTCGAGATGGAGATGAAAACACAGTTTAGAAGATGGAAAAAAGTTGATTAATTTTTTTTAAAGTTTTCTTTAAATTGAAAATTTTAATAATAAAATAAAAGTAGTTAAAATAGTTATTCACGGAAAATATTAGGACAATCAACACTCACGAGATTATAAATTTAAAAATCCTTTAAGCAGTCACCTCCCTCCTCCATTTTCGCCCAAATTAAAGAGAAGAAAAAGAATCTCCTCAAATTAATCAGTTATGTATTCTTCCATAAGCTTTTTATCGACTCATCAAATAGAAAAAAGAATGTTAAATGGTTCTACGCAATATCTCCAAAATTGTAACAATACAAATACAAATATAACATAAACAGCGTATGTGCTGTCATATGTAGGGTTGAATATAAAAAAGGAAAGGGTTCTATTATTAAATTTCTCTTCTTTACTTTTGTACAAAGGGTAGATGAAGTTTCCAGTACAAATTTAAAACCATTATTAGAAGGAGAACATTAATCATACACCCATTAATATTATTTGGATTTTATAGAGAGATGGAGAGATAAAATAAAAGAAGGAAGAGAAAATGAGAAATAAAAAGAAAAAATGGAATAAGAATAAAACAAAATAGAAAATAGCATATAGCATATGATAAATAAGGCGAAAGTTAAATACAGTGAGATCACGGTAACTGATACACAGTTCACCGCAATCCATGGTTTGTGTGCACCGCAATTCAAAAAACATAGACGGTAACACAATTTCACAAACAAGACAACTCCCTTATTTTAGGGAAAAAAAGAAAAAAAAAAGCATATTCACGCACCGAATCGCCGATCCTTTTATTTTCACATAATAATACTATAGTATGAAGCAACGTGGCCACACAAAGAAAGTAAGCATGCACGATCACGCAACGAGAAGAGAGAGATCGAGGTGTTTGATTAACATCATCACCGGAGGCGCAGAAGTCGGCGGAGATTGTTGGTCGCTCCGTCGTCAACACCGCCACCAGAAGCGGCGGCTTCGGCGTTGCAAGCGAGTTTGGATCTGAGAGTAAACTTGGGCAGCGGCAAACTACTGGGTGGCGGAGCCAAATTAAAAACGGAGCCCCAAACGACGTGGTCGTCCTCCATGTTTCCCAACCCTACCAGAAGCGTCGGAAGCTCTTTGGAGTCGCGGTTAATGGATTTCTTCGTTGCCTTCAGTGACAAGTGTCTGCTTCTCGTTTTATTATTAGTGCTAGGGTTTCGAGAAACGTGAGGCAGAGGGAGAAGAGGTGGTTGTTGTTGCACCAAGAGTGAAGAAGAATAAGAATAAGGTGAGAGCGGGTGAGAGTAGGAGAAGGACATGGCGCGTGAAGGCGGATTCAAGAGACCTGCATACGTGTTCAGATTCTCACACCTATTCGTGTTACCTCCTCCGTTTTTCTTCATTCTCCGATTCTTGTTCGGACCAAACGGCGTCGAAACAACGGCGTCCATTCGGATTTAACGGTGTTAATTAGTAAAACACAGGCGATGATCTTCTTTCAAAATAAACGGATCAGTAGCCTGTGGATTAGTGGTAAGGTATATTACAGGGAAGAACAGAAAGAAAGAAAAAAAACAGTACTAGATGGAGAAAGAAGCAAGAGATGATCTAGTAAAATCAGATCACAGGAACAACCTTGTATCTATGTATGTTAACATAGAATAGAATATATGAACATGAGGCTTTGGATTGAGGGGACTAAGCCTCCAAGCGGCTATCCATGCTCCTATGCCTTTAATATATGCAAAGATCGAACGTTGTCTTTAATATAATATTTTCTTTTGTCGGGATTTTTCTCCTAAATTACCGACAACCGTTGCTGTCGGCGACCTTAGTTGAGTACTTGAATTGGGCGGCAACCGCCAGAGCGTTGAAGACCGTTGGATGAGTGATTGTAAATAGCCGTTGCCCGTGGGGAAGAAAGTGACGTTGATAACTTCATCGGGTTCCTCGAAATTGCTCTGAGTCGGACAAGGTAGGACAAATCCTAGCCATACACGTCTGCCTCTGGGTAGGGCCCACCCTTTTGATATTTGTTTCTTGCCCCGTGACCTCATGTGCCGGGAATAACTCTCAGCTAGTGCTTTCCATTTACACAATTTAAACAAAAAAAAAACACAGATAGGGGAGTGGAGACTTGAGTGTTGTTATCTTTATTACAACTTTTTAAGTTTATTATTTTAAAAAATTAATATAAAAAAATCACTTAATTTTTTTAGTCATTTTATTCCTTACACCTTCACATCTTTTCCATATTTCTAATTTCTAAAAATATTTTATATTTTATTCTATGCTTTGTTTTTAGTTTTCTATACGTCCATATTAAATATTTATTTGTATATGTATACTAATAGGGCATCTACAAAGAAAATAAATAAATAATTCTCATAAACTTAATTTTTTTTTACAAATTAATCTTTCAATCTCCTGCTTAAGAGTACAGTTACAAAAATCGTAAAAATCCCTTTCATTAATTTTGTTTTGTGCCCAGGGGATGGAAGGCCAACGAAAACAACACAAAAATAAAAAGATTAGGTGACAACACTGCCTTCTAACAAAGCCACTAGAAGCGGCATTATACCTATTTTCTAGTTCTATTTTAACCCCACACGTATCCAAAACACCCTTAATATAAGTACCTATTGGACACATTCTTTTTTTTTTTTTTTAATGTTTCGTTATATATTTTATTATAATCATCATTTGTTTCTTTATTTTTCTTTTTATCCTTAATCTATCAAATGAAAAAAATTATATAAATATATGCAATAAAGTAACATGGTCTTTATTATTAAATTTTTATTTATAATTAAGAGTGATACATAATAAATTATTCTTTATTGAAAAAAATAAAACATTAATGAAATCAGTTATCAAACATAAGAAACTAGAGAAATTACGAAGTCGAAACGTCCAAATCATTTTGGGACCCAACGGCAGCACAAAAACACCACTGTTCCTCATTTAATGTTACAATGCATCTTAAACAATACTTAAAATTTCTTAGTACGCTACTCCGCTATGCTATGTAAAGACAAAAGTTTTAGAAATTCAGTTTCTAAGATAAGGGCATCTCCAATAGAATCAACTCATTTGAGTTGCTTCATGCATTGGAAACTGGAAAAAGTGGTCTCCACTGTGCCATGTCAGCATTAAGCAACTCAAACAGAAATTTACTCCAATAGTAAGAAACTTTAAGAAATTCAGCTTTTAGAATTTTTTTTCAAATTATTTATGAACTAATTAAAATTTTTATTAAAAAGAACAATTGCACTACAATAAAAGAAAATGAATTATGAGAAAAAATACACAATAAATAGATATTAAAAATAAAATAAAGCAATAATAAATACATAAACATTATACGAAATTAATTTTCATCATTATTATTTCTGAAACGTTCCCAAATATGTTCAATAAGATCTGCTTGAAGTTGGCGGTGTATTCGTTTGTCATGAATATCTGCTCTCCTTTGAAGGTATGTTGTTCTAAAATTGGGATGAGCACCTATAGAGTGTCAATATTGTGTAGAGGAGAAGGCCTATAACACGCATTTGGGTTGGTGAGAGGTGGTGGTTGACTAAAAAATTGTGGTCCTTGAGAATTATCACCACTAGGTGGATGTGTTGGAAACATATAATATTGTGGTGCTGACCAATAAGGTGGTGGATTTTGAGAATTTTCACTAAAATAAGATGGTGGATACATAACATATTGTGGAGGAATTTGAGAATTTGCACTCATCGGTGGTGGTTGGTTTTGGAAAGAATTTAAAAAATTTTGATGATTGTATTGGTTAGGATCCATTTTTGAGAGCAAAACAAGCAAGATAAAAGAAGTATAAGAGAGTTAAAGAGGTCCAAATTTTTTGAATTAGGTTGATGCATATTTATAATGATTTTTTTTAATAAAAAAAAAAATTGCCAACGGCTATTTAACAACGGATCTTTTATAATTTGACAACGGCTATTTGTAACTTCAACGGATCTTTTCTTATCTTTTTAATTAATTTTTTAATTTTTTAATTTGTACTTTTTAATTCTTATTTCTTTTAAAGGGTTTTTTTTTCTCTCCCCTTTCCTCTTCTTCTTCTCTTCGTAAAGGTTTTCCTTTTTTTTCTCTCCCCTTTCCTTTTCTTCCAAAATGCACTGCGCTGGTCGCTTCCGCCGCCGTCGCTGCCGCTGCCGCTTCCGCCGCCGCCACTGCGCTGGTCCAGCCACAACGTTCACTGGCGCGCCTCCGATGTCTACCGGCGCGCTTCCGCTGGCCACCCACGACAGAACGTTCACCTCCGTTGTCCACCGACGCGCCTCCGCTGACCACCTCCGCTGTCCACCGGCGTGCCTCCGCTGTCCACCCGGACGCCGCCGCCGTCCAATCGCGCCTCCGCCGTCCTCCGTTGTTCTCTGCTGCGCCTCCTTCATTTTAAAAATGTAAGCAACCGTTTCTTACTGAAGCAATCCTCTCTCCTCTGCAAGAAACCCTTGCTGCCAGCTCAGCCTTCTCCAATGCTAAGAAACCCATGTTAGAGTTGCTTGAAGAGCCAAGAAACTCCCGTTGGAGTTGCTCTAAATAACTCATGTGATCCTAAAAACCTAAACAAAATCTTTTGAATAATAGGGTCATTTTAGTTGTGTTATAATATAAATTATTTATTATAAATATAAAATATAATTAATATGATTAAAAATATTTATTTATTATGATTATAATTATAATACAATTTGTATAATTTTTAAAAATTATTATTATACAAAATAAATATTTATTATGTGTATATATTACAAATGTTAAAATACTAATATTATAAATTACATTAGAATAATTATCTTGAGAGTGTGAGACCCTCTTCCACCTCTTTTCTTCTTCCCTCTCAACTTTTCCTTCACTCTCTTCTTCTTCCCCATTCACTCTCACTTTGCTTGATTTTCTCTTTGCCTTTGGTCTCAAATTCTCTGATCCTTGGTGGTTGTAGGTGCTAGCTGAGAGTGAGCCGATTCTCTTCTTCCATGTGCCATTCCTCAAGCTTCTTCTTCCATTTTTTCTCTTCCCGAAGCTCGGAATCTCTCCACCGAGGTAAGGAAAGCTAGGTTTTTGGCTGAATTGGTTGGAAATGAGTTTATAAACTCATGTGTGATTGATTTTCAGGAGATTGATGAGTTGTTTTGATGAAATTCCATTTTTGGGGTTTCGGGGTTATGGGTGAAAATTGGGGATTTTGATGTGTTTGTGGTTGCATGTTGGAAATGATTTGGCTTTCATGTTGTTGGACGGAAATGTGGTTATTTGAATGATTTGCATGTGTTTGGGCTGTTGGATTTTTGCAGGTTTGGGAAAAAATTTTGAACTTGGAGGGTTGCTGCTTGGTAGCACGCTGGGCCGTGACCATCAGAGGGCTTTATTAGACAAGCCCGCCGGGCGCAAGGTTGTGTGCGCCGGGCGAGCTTAAGAATGGAAGCTCCTGGATGGCTCATGCCGGGTGTGCTTAGACCGCGCTGGGCGCGAGATCAGTCAAAGACTCACCTCTTTGGGGTTCTGGTGTGGCGCCAAGTGTGATCATGTCTCGCCGGGTGTGGAGACTCCTTGAGAGTCTCTGCCTGGGGTGGCACCGGGCGTAATTGCTATTGCGCCGGGCGTGAGACCTTGGGGAGGTCTCTGCCTTCCTTGCGCCGAGCGCGGGTTTGGCACGCCGGGCGCGTGAGACTCCTTAGAGTCTCTGCCTGTGATTACGCTGGGCGCAATTAGTATTGTGTCAGGCGCGTTTGAGCCTTGGGCTCTCTGGTTGGTCCATGTTGGGCGCAAGTACTCTTGCGCCGGGCGCGGATGTGATCTTTCTTTATATGCTGATATATGCTGAGAGATGCTGATATATGCTGATCTATGTTGATGTTTACTGAGTTAAGCTATTATTGATGAATGTTGTTAAGCTGATTGATGATTATGCTGTGCTGTAAAATGTTGTTGAGCTGAATTATGATGTTTAAAGTTGTATTGTTGTAAAAGTTGAGCTGTGGCGTATGCTATATGTTGTTAATGATGTTATGTTGTGTTGTTCCGCATGCTGATATAAACTGTTGTAAGCCGTAAGACTAAACTGTTGTAAGCCGTAAGACTAAGCTGTTGTAGGCCGTAAGGCTGAGCTGTTGTAGATCGTAAGGCTAAGTTGTTGTAGGCCGTAAGGCTGAGCTGTTGTAGGTCGTAAGGCTGAGTTGTTGTAGGAGATCTCCGAGCTGATATGCGTGACGACTCATTGTTTGTTTTATGTTGTTATTGTTGAATGATGTGAGATATATGCTGTGATGTGTTATATGCTGATTCATGCTGAACTTAATGATGTGCTGATAGTTGTAGCCATTCATAGTTTCTGTATTTATATATACATATGCTGATTCTTTTCACTAGCTTACCCTTGTTGTTTCCATGTGGTTTGGACTGCAATGATCATACTATATATGAGAGCAGAGCAGGGATAGGTTGGTGTGTTGAGGCGGGTCTGTAGCTGGCAGATGGAGTTTGATGTTTTTGTTGTTTTTGGCCACTAGTTTGGCTATTTTGATGTATTTTGGATAGTAATTTTAAGCCCAGGCTAGACATATGTGTATATATTCTATTTTATATATGTATGCTCTATTATGTGGGGACGGGTCGTTACAGAGAGAATGTATATTTAGGATAATACATTTTTAACAAAAAATCTTTTAAGCTATTTAATAAGAATATTTTTATAATTTTTTCTTAATCTTTTTCCTTTTAATAAATTTTTTGTTTT